TTCCTTTGGAGTCTGTCTTTATTTCTCCTCAAAAGCTTCTTTCTTCCTTTTTTTTTTTTCATTTTAGCTCTTCTTTTTCCCTTATGTTCCTTGCACTCTTTTCTTGGGGGTCTCTAATATTTATTGAGCACCTACTATATGCCAGACTCTACGCTAGGAGTTTTACAAATATCATCTTACTTAATCTTCCCAGCAGCCTGTTGGGTAAATAGAACCGTCTCCAATTTGTAAATGTGAAAACCAAGGCTCCAAGAGATTATATAACTCATACAAGGTCACATGGCTGTATTAGTGGAAATTGGGTCTAGATCTGGGTTTGGCTAGCTCCCAAGTCCATACACAGTCCAGCCTCCTATTTCTCCCTCTCACTTACCTTTTTTCTCCCTGATTATATCTTTTTCTTCCTTTACAAGTACCTTTGGCCTCCTTTGCTTTTATCTGACTACCACCATGTCTGAATCTGAGCAAGTCACTTCATCTTTTTGAATCACTTAACCTCTGTGAGTCTCAGACACCCCATTTGTCAAATAGAAATAATAACAGTGTCTTCCAGCTGAGAGAGGTTGGGAGGACTGAGCGAGGTGATGGATAAATTGCTGTACAAAAGTTGCCTGTTATAATGACAGCTTCTTTCTGCTCTTCTTTCCTCTGCGTCTCTCCTCTCCATCTTTTTCATCTCCCACAAAGGAGGATGGTCTCTTTCCTCTTCCCTCCTCTCCCTGATATCCCGTTGTCTACAAAGAGGCTGAAGCCCCCAGGTACAAACAAGGCTCTTCCCCCAGCCATCCCAGCTTGAAGGCTGGGATGTGAGTACAACCCCTGCCAGCCCACCTCAGCTGACAGCTTCTCTTGTGGCCCATTTCCCGACCTGAGAAAGGCAAACTGCAAAAGTGCAGGCTAATTTCAGCCTGTGATGAAGAAGAAGGCATCTGCTGGCTCATTATCCTCAGGCCATAGAAACCTAGTCAGTTTCAGAGACCCTCCAGCATGTAGCTTTTCCTTACTGGATATCATAAAAATGGACTCTATCTGTTGACTGGTTTATTACAAGTGACAGTGGCAGGGGAGGTGTTTAGGGTGTTGCCTGCTCCCCCCAAACAAATAAAGGAGCAAACAAATAAAGAAGTAAATAGCCTTAAACCATCAGTGTAGATAAATGTGAGGACACAGGTCAAGGTCAGAAGCACAAATGCCTTCTGAGGAAGTGGCACTGAGGGGAGATATGCCACACGGAGCAGGTGGACAGTGGCAGGAGTTAGCCTGGATCTGAACATATCTCAGTCAGCTACCAACTGGGTGACCATAGGCAAGTTGCCTAATCTCTCTAAGCCTATCTTCTCATATTGTAGAATGGGGTAAATATTTTATACCTTATAGGGCAGTAATGAAAATTAAATGCACAAAAGTATGTCAGTTCCTCACATGTACATAGTCCTTAACAGTTCACAAATAACAAATTTTTAAATATATGTTTTTATTGATTTTTTTTTTTTAGAGAGAGAAGAAGGGAGAGAGAAAGAGACAGAAACATCGATGGGAGAGAGAATGGGGATCGAGCCCAAAACTTGGGCATGCACCTGACCAGGAATTGAACCAGCAACGCTTTGGTTCACAGGACAATGCTCAACCAACTGAGCCACACCAGCCAGGGCCACAAATACAATTTTAGAACAACCTTGTGAGGGGCAAAGGTGAGGCAAGTGTTATCACTTGTAATTTCCAGATAGGGAAACTGAGGTTTAGAGATGGAGCATTAGCCAGGGCTCTATCCCTTATGCCCCCTTGTCTTGCTCTTAGTTGGAACAGTGACAGAACACACTAGAACATTTCTAACCCAGGTAGAGAAAACCAGAGGCTGTGCAGGTATGCAGTGGAGGGATAGAGTGGAGGGGAAGAGAGGGGGTGGAAGCCTCCAGAAGTTAGAAAGGATGGGAGCCTTTAGGGCCAGCACTGAGCAAAACTCTTCACCCAACTAACTTCTCATTTTTCAGGACCCAGCTTAGATAGGGCCTCTTCATTCTCCTTGTGCTTCCTCCGCCATAGCACATGTCACCCTGCATGCAGAAGTCCATTTGACAAGACCATGTCATTCATCTGAGTGTCTGCACCAGTTGGAGTAGGTGCTTGCTGAGTACTGGTTGAATGATTAGATGAATGAACGAGGTGGGAATGAGCATGGAGGATGTGGATGAGGAGATGTGGACAGTGGGGGTCATAAGAACTCAGCTCAATGGGATGGCGGATCCTTTGCTGGGCATTGGGGACACTGAGGTGAATCAGAAACAGTTCCTACCCTTAAGGAACTCCTAGTCTAGTGTGGGAGAGACATAGTGACAATATTGTAGTGATAAAAGCTGGAATGGTGAGAAGCCAGGCGATGATCAGGGCACAAAGTTATTTAAATGAGCCTGGGGGCCAGGGAAGGCTTCTTGGAGAAGCTGGTTCCTAAAAAGATATCAGCTAAATAAAGACACATGGTTGTGAGTGTATGTGTGCGCACATGCATGTACAGCACACAGGGGAAAAGGTACGAGCACAGACAATGGGGCAAAAAACAGCCTTCGCTTATGCTGGAATGGCCATAGTAGTCTGTTATCATCAGAGCAGAAAGCTCCCAGTGGTGAGAGATGAGGTGGTAGGTGGCCAAACATGGAGACCTCGCATGTCATGCTGAGACTCGTCTCCACTGCCATCTCAAAGGGACCGGTGGTATGAGAACTCTGACTCCAGTAACCAGCTCATGGGTCTAGTCAGCTCTTTTGCTAGCAGAACAAGTCCAGATGCACCCTCCACCTAATTATTGTCAGTCTCCTGGAAGGTTCTTCATTCGTAGGCCCAGATGGTAACCTTTTCCTCAGGTTCATTAGTAAGGATTCTCAGGAGCTGAGAATCTAGTGAGGTCACGAAGATGACAACTGATTAATCAGACTAGCCCCCAATCCTTTCCTCCCTCTAATTGGCTTCAAAACAATGGAATTTCTGCTATCTTTAATAGGTCCCAATCCTTAACTGAATCTAATGATTCCCTCCACTCCAACATGATTATGTTTCCCCTTCCAGTCCAAAGACAGCTGTCACAGACCCACAGACCGTGTCCATATTTCCTGCTTCTGAATTTGATTTTAGAATTCTGTTCAGAAACTTGCAACCTTCTAAACTCACCCCTCCGTCCTGACACTGCCCCAGAACCTTTCTCCTTCCCTTATATGTTCAAATCCCTTCTCCATCCTTTTCTGATACCTCCTCATCTCCATCATGCGTCAATCTTTAACTCACACTCCTCTGATCACTGACGATTTTGGCAAGGAACTCACTGTCTTCCTTTCCACGCAGGGTGTTCTCATTCTCAGGAACTTTTGGTTTCATGTGGACAATCCATCCAACACCCTGGCCTCTTCATGTCTTGAACATATCATTTCAGCGACCTTTTTCTTCCACTTTGTTTCAGCTATGCCCCGTTCGTATAACCTGAGCTATTTTTTTAAAAATATATATTTCTTTATTGATTTCAGAGAGGAAGAGAAAGGGAGAGAGAAACATCAGTAATCAGAATCATTGATCGGCTGCCTCCAGCACGTCCCCTACTGGGGATGGAGCCCGCAACCCAGGCATGTGCCCTTGGCTGGAATCGAAACGGGGACCCTTCAGTCCGCAGGCCAAAGCTCTATCCACTGAGCCAAACCAGCCAGGGCTAACCTGAGCTATTTTGACTTGGCTTTGTGTCACCAGAATTAATGCAATAGCCAGCCTATTGGCTTAACACCCATTACCCTGCATGGTTGGTCTCTCTCTACTTCTCCAGCCTCATCTTCCTGGTTCACACCATGTTCCAGAAACATCAACACTTTCTTATTTGGTGCCTTTGCTCAGGCTATTACTTTCTAGCAGCTATGAGCCTCCTACTCCTAATTATCTTTATT